CTGGCCCCATCCCCGCCTCTTCGACCTGTTTGTTTCCTCTCCACCTATCCTCTCCTCTATCCATCTTCTATCTGCCTCCCACTCTCTCCCTATTTATTTCAGAATCCCCTTCCCCTCCCCCTTTTCTGATGAAGGGTCTAGGCCCGAAACGTCAGCCTCTCTGCTCCTATGATGCTGCTTGGCCTGCTGTATTCATCCAGCCCAGCACCTTGTTGTTTCGGATTCTCCAGCATCTGCAGTTCCTACTATCTCTTATCCAAATTGTATCCTTGCTGATATTTAATCACCTATACCACAAGCTTTTATTTTCCACAATAACGTATCATGGAGATCCTTGTCAAATGCCTTTTTGAAAATCCAAGTATATTATTTCTACAGAGCCTTATCCCTTTATCCATAAGATATAAGACCATAAAACGTAGGATCAAAAGTAGGACATTTGTCCCATTGAGTCTGTTCCACCATTTAATGAGATCATGGCCGATCCAATAATCCTCAGCTCCACTTTCCTGTCTTTTCCCCATAACATTTGATTCCCTAACTGCTTAAAAATCGGTTTCATCCTTGAAAACGCTTAATGATCTAGCCTCTACAGCCACCCGCAGTCCCAATGTATTCACCCAATGGACAGTGGGGGACTTACTGTACAGGACGCCATACAAAAAGCAAACACTTGCTCTTACCCAGTAGTGCGGGGAGGATGGTGTCTATAAAAGAACACTGCCTGACCAAAGGACCGAGAATCAAAGAAAGATAGGCTCACTAACAGTCACCTCCCTGCCTCTATTTCAGATTACCAGCATTTGAAGAATTACTTGCTTTCTGTTTACGAAACAGTACTAACACAATTACTCAAAGATGTCACGTACCTTTTTATGACTCTTTAGAACAGAGGGAGTCACAAAGGCTTTGTCACATAGATCACACTTATATTTCTTGTGCCCATCATGTACCACTTGAATATGAACATTTAAAGTATCCTTCCTCTTGAACGTGGCATCACAGTGATCACATTTGAAAGTTCGTTCACCTGGATGATAGCAAGAAAGATAACTTGTTATATTCCATGTTGACAAATAAACATATTTATCAGTCGATCCAGGAAAAGAGGAAGAGTTAGAATCATAAAGAAGAATAAAGAATCAGAAAACAAAATTTGTATTTATATAGCGATCAACATGCCATTGGGATACCACAAATACTTCTCAGCAAGTGGATTACTTCTGAAGTAGAAAAATTACATCGATTCACACAAAGTAAAGCTGCACACACAGCAAATGATATTCCTTTAAATGCTTCTAAACTATTCACCTCAAGTACTCCCTGTAGTAGGTAGTGAGTTCCATATCCTCACTATTCGCTTGGGAAAGAAGATTCTTCTGAATTCCTTCTGAGAGTTGTTGACAACTATCATTCACTGATGACCTCTATTTCTACACTGCTACACAAGCGGAAACAAATTTTGTGTCTATGCTGTTCAAATCTCTCAATTTTTAAAGACTTCTCCTAGGTCGTCCCTCAGTCTTCCCTTTTCAAAGGAAAAAAAGTACAGTTTGTTCATCCTCTTCTGATTAGTACCAATTTGCACTTACAAACATGCAAAATAGAAGCAGAATTGACAATTTGGGGGTTGGAGTATAAGAGTAGGGAAGTCTTACTCCAAATGTACAGGTGGTGCGACCACATCTGGAATACTGTGAACAGTTTTGGTCCCCTTAAGGAAGTGTATCATTTCATTGGAGGCAGTTCAGAAAAGGTTCACTAGGGTGATCCTTGGTATGGAGGGATTGTCTTATGAACAAAGGTTAAACAGGTTGAGATTCTACTCACTGGAGTTCAGAAGAATGAGAGGTGATCTCTTTGAAACATGTAGGACTCTTAAGGGGGTTGACAGGGTAAACACGGAGTGGATGCCACCCCTCATGGGAGAGTCTAGAACAACACGGCATAGTCTCAGAATAAAGGGGTGTCAATTTAAGACTAAATGAGGGGTAATTTCTTCTCTCAGAGGCTTATGAGTCTTTAAAACTCCTTGCCACAGAGAGTTGTTGGGACAGAGTCCTTTTGTATATTTAAGGCCGAGATGGATGGATTCTTGATCAATAGGGGAATCAAGGGTTACTGAGAAAATGCAGGAAAATGGACGTGAGGAATTTCAGACCACTCATGATCCTATTGAATGGTGGAATATGTTAGAGGGGTTGAACAACCTACTCCTGTTCCGATTTTTTTTATGGTCTTGTGTCTTTTGGCCCCTTGGGACTGTCTTTTCTTTCAATAAGAGTGTGGCTGATATATTTAGGTTTGAATTTCACATTCCCATACACCCCTGATAACTCTTGATTCCCCTGCTTGATGTGAGTCTATTCATCTCTGTCTTAAAAATATTCAATGCCCCTGGCCTCCTGAGGCAGAGAGTTCAAAATCTGCACAATTCTCTGAGAGAAATACGCTCTCTTCATCTCTGTCCTGAAAGGGCAACCACTAATTTTAAAACAGCATCCCCCGGTTCTTGACTTACCCACAAGAGGGGCAGAGGAACAGAAGTAGGCCATTCATCCCATTGAGCCTCCCTGTCATTCAACATGATCATGGCTGATCAAACACTTCATTGCCTTTTACCCACTCCATCCCTCTAGCCACCTAATTGGTAACCAGAAATCTACCAACCTCTACCTTAAGCAAACTGAAAGACTGAGCTTCCATGGCGCTCTGTGGTAGAGAATTCCAAAGGTCACAATGCTCTAAGTAAAGAGAATTTCTCCACATCTCAGACATCATTGCATCGCATTATTTTTAAATTGTGTCCCCCAGTTCTTGACTTCCCAACCAGTGGAAACATCTGGCCTACATTTGTTCTGTCAATCCCTTTAAATATTTTGTAAGTTTCAATGGGATCACCTCTCATTCTTCAAAACTCTGGAGAACATTGGACAAACTGAGCCTGAGCCTATCTCTCTTCAGATGACAGATCCACCATCCTAGGAACAAGTCTTTGTTGCATTGATCTATGGCAATAATACCATTCCTGATGTATACCCTGTCAAGACCATTCAGAATCTGAAACACTTCAATCAAGTCACCTTCATTTCAATCAAGTCACCCCTCACCATTCTAAATTCCAGCGGAGACAAGCCCAGCCTGTCTAACCTACCCTCCTTCTTCCAAGTATCAAACTAGTAAACCTCCTTTGAACTGCTTCCAATGCATTTACATTTTTGCTTCAATCAAGAGACCTGGTATCATCGTTGAATCTTTTCAGCACCTACTTCAGCACATCTATATCCTTTTTATAAGATTTAGACCAGAACTTTACACATACTCCAAATATATAGTCTACCTAAGGCTCAATTACAAGTTTAGCATAACCCCTTACTTTCAATTTTGTTCCTCTGTAAGTAAACTCCAATACTTGCCTTGTTTACTTTATTCCTTGAAAAAATAACCTACTTAATCTGACATACTAACCACATGAGTTACCTTGTTTGATCTATGGACCACCATATGCATTCACTCCTGTGTGGTCAGAGCCAGGTCTGCTGCAAAGGGAAATCTCAGCCCCAAACATCAGCCAAGCAGATTGTTAGTAGAAACTAGAAGCTGGCTGCATGCTCAAGCCTCCCAGCACATTTCCAATTGACTCGTGTGTGAAAGAGGTCTGTAGATTTTTGTAGTCATTTATGTCAAAAGTTTTCAAGCGAACATATTGAAGCTGTGGCACATGTAATTTTTAAAAGTCATTCTTGAAAAAGAACAAGACCAGCTATAGGTACTATGAAGGTAGTTGCTCACTGTTGTGTATCAGTAGATGTCTCTGCAGGGAGAAGGGGGTCCGAAACAAAGCCTTACACTCATCACACTGGAATGGTCTTTCTTCCGAGTGTGTCTGTCAATGAAAGAGTTTACATAAGTGAAGCAGTATCAGACGTAAACGGAAGAGAATTAATTATTTATCTTATTTTTATATAAAGCAAACAACAATTAGATTTAAACAAAATCATAAATTCTACATGAGCAAATACCCTCAGCATAACACAAAAACTAGAATTTGATTCCTTAAAATAGATAAAGAAACTTGCATATATATCACACTGTTAATGGAGAAAAATATCTTAAAGTCACTGCAAACTGAATAGGAGAAGGAGACAGGAAAAGAGATAGAGCAGAGAAGAAAGACATGACCAAATAATTCTATTTTGAGGAGGCTTTCTGAGATTCGGGTAAGGGGAGGCAAGAGAGTTAACAACATTAAGAACGTTAGGGCAATAGTTCAAGATTCCGAGATCACATAACAGAAGGCATACTTTCAGTAATGGAGCAGAGGGAAAGGGATGTATGGCAAACACATGAAATGGTGTTTCATCAATAGTTAATTGAGGTATGGTCATGGATGGGCAATGTTAACAGAGCTAGAAACAGGAAATTGTGGTGATAGATGACATAGGTTGAAAGGTCAGCTCAGGGTTGAACAAAACACTGATACTGCACATTGGTTTCCATCTAAGTAAATATTTTCATGACCATGGAACAGAAGCCCGAAATACTACAGACAATTTCACTTATAATTCCCAAATGTGCTTTTTAGAAGTGGGCTTATGCAGACAAAAATGGATGCAAATGTTAATAAGTGCTGCTGGGGAGATTGAGACACTCACAGAATGTCACACTTAAAGATGCAAAGGGAATTGCAAACAATAACCCTTCAAAGGGGGAAATAAGCAAGTCAAAACAAGCTGGACTGTGATCTCTTCTAACTACAAAAATAATGAACAGCTGACGAACCCCTGCTCAATAGCAAGATGCCCTGAGGATTATGTCTCAAAATGTAGACGTCTTTTGTGTTTACCCTTTGAAGAATATACAAGGATGGTTGATAAGAAGACAGTTTCAACTCCACTGGAGTGTATTTGTGGGACTGAACATTCTTCTATATACCAGCCCAAGTTCAAGAATTAGTGTGCTGCAAAAGTCACAGTTGGAAAACCATCCCATAGTCTTCCCTGTGCTGCAGATAAAGAGTCTCTCTGACACAGAGTTCTAGAGGTCATCTAGCTAGCCATACTATTAGAAAAGGAAGCAAGAAAATGAAAGGGCCCTCTCTCAACCTGAATGCTGGAACAACAATGATGAAAACTATAGAATCTCAAATAATCTGCAAAGTTAAGGTTAACAGAACTGACTATTCAATTACCACTATCAACACCACCAGTTATCTCCACTGCAATGGTCGTAACATTCAACTATCCTCTCTTTGAAAACAATTCAGACACTGATCTGTCCATCTGCCTTTTGTAACATTTGTTATTTTAGGCTCACCTCTCAATTTAAATTGTATTCATGTCTGTTGTTACTAATTTTTATTTTGTTTTGTAATTAATCCTTTTGTTCACTCAAAAAAGCCACAATATATTGCTTCCTTCTTAGTTGTAATTTGGTTTGGAGTTACTCTGAGGCAATCAACACAGGGAGAGCTGAATAAAAGAGAGGAGACAATCTACCTTTCTCCTCACAGGAGCTCAACAGTCCAGAGTGTCTCATTTGGAATGGTAAAGAATTGGGGGACCTTATCCAGGGTCTGATCTTAACAATATTCAACGCAGGTTCAGAAAAACAGATGAACAGATTCTTGCTGAATCTGAAATGGGTAGCTTCAATCTTTACAATGTTAAAATCGAGAAAGTTTTAATTTCAAATTTGCTTTAATTTTTTGTTAAAATTTTTTTTACACTGGTACCAGCCCTACATATTGTGCACAGTTATTGCTGCTATGCCAAAAAGAGACGGAAACATAAAACATGTAAGTACAGGCCAATTAGTTTAACATCAATTATCAGGAAAATGTTAGAATATTATAGATGATGTAACAGCAGAGCATTTAGAAATGCAAAATATGATCAAACAGAGATGTTAGAAGTCAGTGAGCTCTCCTCCAGGACATCTCTGCAGGAGTTCCTCAGAATAGTGCACTAGGCCCAATGATTTTCAGCTGCTTCGTCAGTGACCTTCCCTCCATCATAAGGTCAGAAGTGGAGTTGTGCGCCGATGATCGCACAATATTCAGCACCATTCGTGGCTCCTCAGATACTGAAGTAGCACATGTTCAAATGTATCACAACCTCGACAATATCCGGGTTTGGACTGACAAGTGGCAAGTTACATTTGCGCCACGCGACTGCCAGGCAACGGCAAGTACCATTACTGAACGCTCCAATATCAATATCCTTGTGGTTATCATTGACAGAAACTGAACTGAACTGTCCATTTAAACACTGTGGTTACAGGAGCAGATCAGAGGCTAGGAATCCTACAGCAAGTAACTCAACTCCTGACTCCCCAAATCAGTCCACCATCTACAGGGTATAAATCAGGAATGTGATGGAATACTCCTGGCCTGTCTGGATGAATGCAGCTCCAACAAGATTGAAGAAGCTTAACACTATCCAGGACAAAGTAGCCTGCTTGATTGGCACCACCACCACAAACATTTATTCCGTCCATCACCAAAGGTCAGTAGCAGCAGTACTGTCTGCAGAAATTCACCAAGGCGTCTTAGACAATACCTTTCAAACTCATGGCCACCACCATCTTTAAAGGTCAAGTGGTGGCACGGTGACTCAGTGGTTAGCACTGCTGCCTGACAGCGCCAGGGGACTCAGATAATGTCAGGCTCCTTCAGTCTTGTTGGAGCTGCATTCATCCAGACAGGCCAGGAGTATTCCATCACACTCCTGATTTATACCCTGTAGATGGTGGACTGGTTTGGGGAGTCAGGAGTTGAGTTACTTGGCTGTAGGATTCCTAGCCTCTGATCTGCTCTTGTAACCACAGTATCTGCATGGACAGTTCAGTTCAGTTTCTGTCAATGATAACCACAAGGATATTGATATTGGAGCATTCAGTAATGGTACTTGCCGTTGCCTGGCAGTCGTGTGGCGCAAATGTAAGTTGCCACTTGTCAGTCCAAACCTGGATATTGTCGAGGTTGTGATACATTTGAATATGGACTGCTTCGGTATCTGAGGAGCCATGAAGGGTACATTGTGCAATCATCGGCGCACAACTCCACTTCTGACCTTATGATGGAGGGAAGGTCACTGACGAAGCAGCTGAAAATCATTGGGCCTAGTGCACTATTCTGAGGAACTCCTGCAGAGGTGTCCTGGAGGAGAGCTCACTGACTTCTAGCATCTCCGTTTGATCATATTTTGCATTTCTAAATGCTCTGCTATTACATCATCTATAATACTCTACATTTTCCCAATAATTGATGTTAAGCTAACTGGCCTGTACTTCCATGTTTTACGTTTCTGTCTCTTTTTGAACAAGTTTTCTACATTGGCAGTTTTCCAATTGTCTGGGACTTTTCCAGAATCTAAGGATTTTGGAAGATTACGAGAAGTGCTATTTCCTTTAGTTTCAATGTACTCCAGATAGGAAATACTTAATTGATTGAATTTCCCAAAATCATTTTGGGTGCAATTCTTGAAAATGAATCAATATTGACCTTATTTTATTAATCAACCAACAAGTTGTCATGTTAATTTGAAACACAACAGATATACTTATTTTTACATGTTAACTAAATTCCCCTTAACCTTTCTTTCTATTTAAGCAGTTACATGATTCAACCCTTGCATTTCAATGTGTCCAGAAATGGTAAAAACAGTGAGAGCACCACAGTGTTGTTTAGCACAGCAGGATTAATAGGAACCGATGACCAATCAATCAATTCCACAAATTTTCATCTGAAATGTACGTGACTCTCTTCATGCAAATACAGGTGCACAATAAGAATCAATATCAGCAGGGCTTCGTTTTCTCTGGACTGGAATATTGATTTCCATCAGACCTAAATTTAGTGGTAGTGGCAGACTTTGCAATGAAGCAAACTCGGCATCAGGACTAAGTTTAACTACTCTTTCAAAAAGCCAACACAAGCATGGTGGGCCAAATCGTCTCCTGGTGTGTGCTGTAACTTTCTCTAAACCTATGTAATCCACAAAACGTGCCACGTCAGAAAGGTATATTGTTCAAGCAGATAATAGCGATCCATTTATAGTGTTGACATAAATGATGACCAGTCAACCCAGTGAATTACAGGAGGCAGATGTAACAAAAATAACTTATTAAAAGGAGCATGTAGCTGATACAAATCTGCAAATACAAATATATGATATAAATAGCAGCACATCGCCAGAACATGAGTCATCTGTCAAAGCCTTCAAAAGATTGCAACAAAGCAAATCCTTTTGTTTGGAGGAGGGGGCATTTGAACACAGAATAGGGGCTGTTACAATTGCCCAGACTGGGGCAAATGGAGACCCCTTACTCTAGGCAGAAAACAGGGGTGAGGAAAGGCAATTTAAGGCCATAAAGTGACTGTTAATTGACCAATTAAGGGACTCAATTGCTGGCAAGTCCAGAAAATCCTGAATCGGCCTTCCCACCTGCCACATCAACTCATGGCAAGAGGGGTGACAGTATCTTTCTAGGGCCAACTACACAACCATTTTCCCTTCTCACTACTTCTCTCACCACCCAAAGGGAGTGTAAAATTGTTCCTCCGTGCCTGTAGCAGAACAGGCACCTGACTGCCGAATGGTTGCTTGTGATCCAGACTGCAAAAATTCTTCAGGCAACAAATGCCTGTTAAAACAATGGCAACTGATCCTCCTGGCAATTAATAACATTTTCCTTTTTTAACTCCAGGGCCAGAGATGGTCCCATGCCTGGTTTTCCAAAATATAGGTCCAACTGGACCCATTGGGAAGCTCTGAGCATAAGTCCTGAGCAATATTCAACATAGAAGAATAGCTCAATTGTTCCTCAAAGCAATGTGAAATTTCCAGGATAAAGTATCAGCAAGAAAGAAAAATGTAATTGAAA